ACGTAAGCCCGCACACAGAAACATACCAGCATATATGTATATACATATTTGTTTACCAACTTTGGTATGTACATACATATATGTACATATACAAACATACACCCACGCACACACACACACATATATACATATATATGCATACGCCGGATATATACAATTCCACCCTATATAATGAACATATTGAATTGAGTGCATATAATTTCCTGATGTACACCCTTTTGTATAGTTTATCATGAATGTAATGGAATGGCATACACCAAATACGATATATGCTGAATGGTTCGTAACAACGTTATTTTCAGGACAACGATACAAATAGAAATAAGTCTATAACACAATTGTAGATACAGTAATCAAATACTCCAAAATTAAGAGGGGGTCTTTTCCTGTGTTGATTTCAATGTAAATTTCTGGCTTCTAATCGTATTATTCATGAATTTTTAATACATCCCAACATGTATATACACACTCACAAATATATGTGTATAAAGTATGATATATATATATATATATATATATATATATATATATATATATATATATATATTAACTAATAGTGTCAACATACACATACATACAGAAATTGGTATTTAAAAACTCGCAAAAAGTGATTTTCGCGCTTGTAACTCTATATGTGTCTCTTTTTAAAAATCGAGAGGACGTAAGAAATATATGGGCCACGCAAAGTGCGGCGCCGAAAGATGCGATTTCAGGAAACGTTTGAAGCAGGACCGAATTTTTTATCACCCTGCGAGGTTGATGTTATGAAGACAATTATCCAGACAAGGTGAAGGTGGGCCGGATTTGTGTGAAAAGCATGTATTACAAGTGTATCCGTATATACATGTATGTATGTTTTCTACCATGTACAGTGTGCATAGCCGCCGTTATAGGTCTATAGGACTGCGCATCCACTGCGCAAATCCAAATAAATTGTTAAATTAGGATCATGTTCGTTACAACACCAATACATTTCACTGGCATTGTTCTTACTTCGAGCAACTTTGTGTGCATGCTTCGTGAAAAAGTGAGATATCAAAATAATCATTTGAAATCATCATATTGTTATATACTTATATACTATGACATTAGTTAATTCATGTGTCTGTTTTTCTATTTAAAAAAAAAAAAAAAACACGAGTGCAATCTCCAGTACTTCCAACTTTATCGATAATATCAACAGACAGTTCGAGTTCCGTGTAAACTTACTAGCATTTTTTGTTTGGGTAGGAATAAAGTACAGTGTCAATAGAATTTCAGTTTAATAAATATATATTAAAATATTTTCATAGAGGTTCATTTAGGCGTAGGCTGGGGTGGTCTCGTAGGTAGGGGCAGGTTCGTATGTAGGCAGGCTTGTAGTAGGGGCAGGCTTGTAGGCAGGTGCGGATGGTAAGGAGCTGGCTTGTACTCGGGGTACTGGGCCTCACCCTCGTAGCTGACCTCAGCCACGTAGCCGGAGTCGCCGTTGACAGTGTAGGCGACCTTCTGCAGACGACCGTCGGGAAGGAGGACGTAGTAGGATCCCTGGGTGTCATAGCCATCACGGGCCTCCTGGTGACCGAAGTCGTTGCCGGAGTAGTCGTCCTTCACGGCATAGTTGAAGTCGTACTTGGCAGGGACCTAAAAAGGTTACACAAAATCAGCATCATACAATACTAAATTTCCGGTCATAATATATTAGTACTTAACGAAATCAGTCATACTAATGACAAATCTCAAGAAAAAAATACAAACCTCATAGGCAGGCTGAGGAGCATAGCCATAGGCTGGCTGAGAAGGAGCAGAGGCAGCAACGGCCACGAGGGCGAGGGCGACGACAGCCTAGAAGAGAAGAAATATATCAGATTACAAGTTATTTTCTTTTTATGCACATTAACACAACACAAGACACATTAACATGAAAATAAACTACTGTTTCATAATAAGCAAGACTGATAAGACTTGTTACCTTAGTGAACATGATGGAGGTAGAAGAGTGATGCTCCGGCCATCGAGCGAGTCCCTTTTATACCGAAGTCCACGAGTCCAGTGGACACGCCCCTTTCCTTCCTTCCTTCCGTGCGACCTTTACCTTGAGTTATGTCAATCATCTACCTTTCCATTAATGAGTACTCTACTACTACCACTATGTGAAAAGAATTTGGAGCTTTAAGAAACGCTATATATTATCCGTTGATTTAGAGTAAATGTTGAAATTCACACATACATATATATATATATATATATATATATATATATATATATATATATATATATATATATATATATATATATATATAATGCATGTGTGTATGTACATATTCACTGCCGCCGTAGCTCAGTAGGACTGCAGTCCGCTTTGCAATTTTAGATATACTTGGCATCATTAAGTCGTTTGTTGTAATTTCTTAAATTGTATTTTGACTAACCCACAGATGAAGTAGTCACAGCCCTTTTTGTTGGCGAACTTTAGCTTGAATTATATCCATCCTCTTCCCTTCTGTAGATAGTATTTTGCAATCTGTAGAAGCAAATTCTCATATGTAACGTACACATCCACACAAACAAACAAACACACACATATATGTATATGTATAAATATATATATATGTATAGATAAATATATTTACATAAATATTATATGGCTAAATATACGTATACACGCACCCATACATACACATATAGTGTGTATATATACATATATATAAATATATATATATATATAATATATATATATATATATATATATATATATATATATATATATATGTATATACATATATATATATGTATATATACATATTATATCTACATATATATATATTTACATACATACATGCATATATATATATATATATATATATATATATATATATATATATATATATATATATATATATATTATATATATATATATATATATATATAATATATATATGCATCACCATAACCCCAACACACACACACAATATATATGTGTGTGTGTATGTATATATATATATATATATATATATATATATATATATATATATATATATATATATATATATATATATATGTGTGTGTGTGTGTGTGTGTGTGTGTGTGTGTGTGTGTGTGTGTGTGTGTGTGTGTGTATGTGTGTGTGTGTGTGTGTGTGTGTGTATGTGTGTATGTATTCGCATGTATGAATGTCTGTATGTATATACTATTATTTCTATTATAGAGTAAAGACTGATTAATTGACCAAGAGCAAAATTGATCGGAGGCCATCAATGCTGGGTTGTTGGTCCGCATCGGCAGTTTGTGCCAGGCTCGTTCGGTTTTTTTTTTTTGTTTTTTTTTTTTGTAGTTTTTTTAATTGAGGGTTTCCCTTCACTTTAGTTGCTTTTTCCTGGAAGTTGAACCACGCAAATGGTGTCGCTAATATTGGAGACAAAGAAGCTTCGTCCGATGAGCCGATGGCGCCGGAATGGTCGCGTTGGGACCCCGCCCTCGATACGCCGCTGTGGCACTCAGGTAAGTACGGACGGCCGTTGTGGCACTCAGGTAAGTACCGGCCGTTGTGGCACTCTCGTTGTGGCACTCAGGTAAGTACGGACGGCCGTTGTGGCACTCAGGTAAGTACGGGCCGTTGTGGCACTCAGGTAAGTACGGACGGCCGTTGTGGCACTCAGGTAAGTACGGACGGCCGTTGTGGCACTCAGGTAAGTACGGACGGCCGTTGTGGCACTCAGGTAAGTACGGCCGGCCGTTGTGGCACTCAGGTAAGTACGGCCTGCCGTTGTGGCACTCAGGTAGGTACGGCCGTTGTGGCACTCAGGTAAGTACGGCCGGCCGCGTGCTTGACCGTAATCGGCAGTGCTACTTTATCGGCGGGACCGGAAATCGTGTGGCCGTGACCGCAATGGACAGTTGACCGCTATAGACTGAATTTCAGTACTTGTATAATAATCCTTTTAATTTATTTTAGTTACTTGGATATTTTACCACCCAAGTATCTATCTATCTATATTTATATGTGTGTGTATATATATTGCTGCAAGAAAATATTAATCCTAATATTACAAATAAATTGTAATATTAGGGAGATGTTCGCTGCAACGATTTAATACAGTTTACTTGGATTGCTTTTACTTCGAGCAACTATTTGTGTATGCATCTTTAAAAAGTGACATATCTTAACACAATCATTTGAAATTAATATATTGAATTATATACGGTGGTGGTGATTAATTCATGTGTCAGTGTCTTTTTCTATCAAAAAAAAAATATATCTCATGAGAGATATCTCCAATAGTATTAACTATATCGATAGTATCAACAGAGAGTCCAGGTTCCGTGTAGTCTTATTGTCATCTTTTGTTTTGATGGGAATGAAGTACAATGTTACTAGAATTTCAGTTTAATAAATATTCATCCAAATATTTTAATTAAAAAAATAATCATTTAGGCGTAGGCTGGGGTGGTCTCATAGGTAGGGGCAGGTTCGTATGTTGGGGCAGGCTTGTAGGTAGGGGCAGGCTTGTAGGCAGGTGCGGGATGGTAAGGAGCTGGCTTGTAGGCAGGTTCGGGATGGTAAGGAGCTGGCTTGTAGGCAGGTTCAGGATGGTAAGGAGCTGGCTTGTACTCGGGGTACTGGGCCTCACCCTCGTAGCTGACCTCAGCCACGTAGCCGGAGTCGCCGTTTACAGTGTAGGCGACCTTCTGCAGACGACCGTCGGGAAGGAGGACGTAGTAGGCTCCCTGGGTGTCATAGCCATCACGGGCCTCCTGGTGACCGAAGTCGTTGCCGGAGTAGTCGTCCTTCACAGCATAGTTGAAGTCGTACTTGGCAGGGACCTGGAAAGGATAGGATACTCAAAATTAGAAACACACAATGCCAGATTTCCGACAAATATATATATATATATATATATATATATATATATATATATATATATATATATATATATACCTTTACGAATTCAGTCATACTCTTACTATTGTCATTTCTGAAAAAAAAATACAAACCTCATAGGCCGGCTGAGGAGCATAGCCATAGCCTGGCTGAGAAGGAGCAGAGGCAGCAACGGCCACGAGGGCGAGGGCAACGACAGCCTAGAAGAGAAGAAATATATCAGATTACGTTATTTTCTTTCTATGCACATTAACACAGCACAAGACACATTAACATGTAAGTAACCAATGTCTCAATAAGCAAGACTGATAAGACTTGTTACCTTAGTGAACATGATGGAGGAAGAAGAGTGATGCTCCGGCCATCGAGCGAGTCCCTTTTATACCGAAGTCCACGAGTCCAGTGGACACGCCCCTTTCCTTCCTTCCTTCCGTGCGACCTTTACCTTGAGTTATGTCCATCATCTCCCTTTCCATTAATGAGTACTCTACTACTACTACTACTATCTGAAAAAAAAAAATGGCGCTATAACAAACGCTATATATTATCAGTTGATTCGGAGTAAATGTTGAAATTACACATACTTAATAATGTATAATCATTAGGGCATATATATGAATAAGTGTATGTACATATGTCTTTTCGTGTTCTTCTGTCCGCTTAAATCCAGAGAATTGACAGAATATGAATCACTTGCAACGTGTCTGCGATAAACGCTATTTTCGAGAGAGAAACTATCAATTTAGGACTTTCAATAAATTGTCGTGGATATTAACGGGACTTTTTTTTTTTTTCTTTCTTTCTTTCTTTCTTTTTTTTTTTCTTTCTTTTATCTACTCGCTATGATTTGGTCAACATGATGAGATGATCCGAAGACGGCCTCATTAACTTCTTCAAGGTGGTGTCCGAAGCGGAAGAGAAGACATGTCTTGTATATATAGTATGTATGTGTGTATGTACATATTCACTGCCGCCGTAGCTCAATAGGACTGCTGGTCCGCTTTGCAATTTTAGATATACTTGAGCATCATTAAGTCGTTTGTTGTAATTTCTTAAGATTGTATTTTGACTACTCCACAGATGAAGCAGTCACAACCCTCTTTTTTGGAAACTTTTAGCTTCAATTATATCCATTCTTTTCCTTCTGTAGATAGTATTTTGGCAATCTGTAGAAGCAATTCTCATATGTAACGTACACACCCACACAACAAACAAACAAACCATGTTATATGTATTTTTTATATATTTTATATTTATTATTTTATTATATATATTATATACTAATTATATATATATTATTATTTTATATATTATATTATTTATTATTATTTTATTATTTTATGTATATACATATAATGTATATGTACATTTATAATCATATTTATATATATTTATTTTATATATTATTATATTTATTATATATTCTATTTATGTATATATATATATATATGCAATTCGCATATGTATGGTATATATATATATATATATATATATATATGTATATATCTCATATATATATTACATTATATTATTCACACACACACACGTATATATATATATATTATTAATATATATATATATGTTATATATATATATACTATAATAAGTATTATATATATATATATATTATATGTTGTTTTGGCTATATATATACTATATAATTATAATATATATAATTATATATATCATATATATATATATATATATATGTATGTATGTATGTATGTAATAGGTATTTGTATTCGCATGTATGAATGTCTGTATCGTATACTCTATTATTTATTTATATATGCACGTGTGTACATAATTTATACCAAGAGAGAGAGAGAGAGCACCTCATTGGTGGCCGATGGCCATTAATGCCGGGTTGTTTGGTCCGTATCGGCAATTAGTGCAGGTCGTTTCGGTTTTTAAAACATTTTTTAAGGGTTTCCCTTCACTTTAGTTGCTTTTTCCCTGAAGTTGAACCACGCAAATGGTGTCGCTATATTGGAGACAAAGAAGCTTCGTCCGATGAGCCGCTGGCGTCGGAAGGGTCGCGTTGGGACCCCGCCCTCGATACGCCGTTGTGGCACTCAGGTAAGTACGGACGGCCGTTGTGGCACGCAGGTAAGTACGGACGGCCGTTGTGGCACTCAGGTAGGTACGGCCTTCCGTTGTGGCACTCAGGTAAGTACGGCCGACTGCGTGCTTGACCGTAATCGGCAGTGCTACTTTATCGGCGGACCGGAAATCGTGTGGCCGTGACGCAATGGACAGTTACGCTATACCTTAATTCTACTTGTATAATACTTGAATAATAATACTTTTTGATTTATTTTTAGTTACTTTGATATTTTACCACCCAAGTATCTATCTATATATATGTGTGTGTGTGTGTGTACATATATATTGCTGCAAGAAAAGATTAATCCTAATATTACAAATAAATTGTAATATTAGGGAGATGTTCACTGCAACGATTTAATACAGTTTACTTGGATTACTTTTACTTCGAGCAAATATTTTTGTATTCATCTTTAAAAAGTGACATATCTGAACACAATTTGAAATTAACATATTGAATTATATACGGTGGTGGTGATTAATTCATGTGTCAGTGTCTTTTTCTATAAAAAAAAAAATCCGTCATGAGAGAT